CCTCGCCCCCATCGCTAGCGGTACCCCAGTCGCCTTGTGGGGTGCTCCCGCCGCTCGCGTATTCCACCTCAATGTCACTCTCAACCCCTTGATGATGTCCTTCGCTTGAACACGCGTCATCCTCAAATGGTCGGGGTTGGAAGTTGTCCCATACGACTATTCGATCCCAACGCGGTTGCGTGTAATGATTCGGATCACGGGGAGGTATGATTGACCATTGCCCAACCGTATCTTCGAGATCAACGTATTCGTCCCCTTCAGTGTGCTGCTCCTCTGGAGGTGGCGCATACATGCTCGCTGCGTCGCCCCTGGGTGTGTCCTTTTCCATCAGTGCATCGACGAGTGCAGCAACAGACCCTCCGCACGGCATCGCGAGCTCACTCCACAGCTCCCCGAAGGTAAGTTCCCCCTCGCCCCGCATCCGCATCAAGTATACCAACGCACTCCTAATTGTATGAGGAGACTGAGGGTGGCCAGCACGAGGGTCGGCGTCAAAGGATCGCCGCGCGGCAAGTTTGTGAGGCGGACCTGGGCTGGGGGACCATGATCCAGAAATGGACATGCTCTCTATTCTCAAGGACTCCACCCCCAGCTCACGACGCGCAAACACGGCGGTTTGAGATGCGTACCCAAGTTCACGACCGAATGGGTCTGGTTCCGTAGGAACGCCTACCCCATCCAAAGTGACATCGTACCCGTGCAAGTCGGCGGCCTCTCGGCACCACTCGGTAAACTCGAGGACCGTCCACTCGCGTTTGTGATCGGAGTGCCGAAAGACACGTGTGGTCTTCCCCGTTGGATCTAGGAATCCTTTACGCGGGACACCAGGTGGGTGGAAACGAGCATTGAAAGTAAAGTTGGGTGTGGTGAGGATCAGGAGGCGCGGGCGATACTGCCCTAGAAGGACATAGGAAAAGGCAGGGAGAATGGATTCGGGGACATGCTCAATCCTTGTTTAAGGTTAGGATGGTTGAATATCCGATCTGGATAAACTCACACTTCGGTAGACACGATTGCATCAAACCCATAGAGCTCAGAGTTAAGGATCTCCAGTCCCCCTTGCCATACACTAGTCTCCATGGGTGCCCAGCGTATGTACCACCCATCTTCCCCTGAGCCCCAGGGCGCAAGATAATGAGGCTCGCGATCGGTCGTTGCAGCGTGTACAGCATCGTCGATGACTTGGGGGTCGACATCAAGTGCCGCGACACGTTCAAGAAACAGGTCGCGGATAGGTGTTGAAAGATGACTGTCTGGTATATCGTTTGGGATGCTGGATGCAGAGCCGCACAGAGCGCTGAGCAGTGAGCCTTCGCCACATCCAATATCCAGGACCTAGCCACATCACAACAAACTATAACGATATCGATGGTTGATACGTACTGAGCGAGCACCGTTCAAACGAAGGGTTTCCATGATCCATCGTTGTCGCTCATGGGCCAGAGGAGGTATGAACCTCACTGGAAGGTCTTGCACAGCGCCGCTGCTGGGGCTTTCGATATCCGAACTCATCGGGTATGGTCAGGTAGCAACAAGAACAATCGCAGCATCAGCATTTGGTATTCTAGTACGTAAACAACGAATCAACAAATCTACCGACAAATTCAAGGCTCAAAGACATTCCACAAAAAACGCCATCAGGAGAATTACGCCCGTTCCTTTAAAGGTACAAGGTAGGGTGCCGAACGAGCGATATCATAGCGCGCAGGCCCAAGAGCCTGCGGCCAATCATCTCGTTGCTGGGAGTCTCATCACGCAGCGATTTTGATTGTGGAAGAATCAACTAGCAAAATTTTGGTTCCGGTCATTTTATTCCTAACTTGGCACAGCCACCTCGGCGTGCCGCCGGCTGACTTATTGCCCATAAAATAATTCAGTAATTCAATGTCAATGATATAATAATAAATGGGAAGCCCGGCACGCAATTGAACGTCCAAAGGTACCTGCAAAAGTCTATGGCACAACCGTTGACGCAAACACCCGTCGAATAAATGATTAAGTATGGAGACGGAGGGTATACTGTATCGATAGACAACAGAGCAATGCAACATGCTGCCCGATGGGTGGGAAAGCAATGAGAATGCAAAAACATCTAGGCTGGAGTTGGCTGAGTGGTGGGAGTCTGGGAATACTTGGCATTAGAAAACTAGCAACACGACGAAACGATCACTCACTGGTTGCACGGCTGAAACAGACTACCGCCTGGGAGCGAGCGAACACATCATCAAGGCTTGTACCAACTCTGGTTTCCACGTCATTCTTCGTAGTGCTTCGGCGAAATCCACCCACTCCCGCCGTCTCTCCGTCGCTTCATCCCAGTTATCAGCTAGTGCGACCACGTCTAGCTCAAAAAAGTGGTAGTTGGCAGTCGCCCCAGCAATCGTCGTCACAAAGCGTGTGATTTTGCCTTGCACGCCAGCTAAAGGTGGAAAGAAAGGCGAGGAGAGAGTAAGAAGGCGACGAACGCGGACGCGGGGCGCGAGAGCGAGTGACCTTCTTCAAACGCCTCGCGGCATGCAGCGGCCTCAAAGGTTGGGTCCGTTGTCTCCCAACCGCCTTTGGGCACTGTAGGGTGAAGGGTGTGAGTTGGTGCGGGTGGAGCTTGCGAACGCTGAAAATGGTACTCACAGACCCACTGATGAGGTCGTTTCCGACTCGTGACAAGAAGGACCTTCCCAGCGGCACGTGCGATGGGAATTGCGCAGCAAACTGTGCGAGGGCGTGCGACATCTGCTCGACCCATGTTCAAAACGTCTAGGGGGTGGAAAAGCACGTTGGTGGGGGACGGAAGTTGATTAGCTGTCACGGCGATAGTGCGCAGAAAGAAAACACACTCTATGTTGTTGGAGACCAAAACAGTGCTAGCGCTCCTCAGGTACGTAAACAGAATAGATTGACTGTGTGGGGGAGCTTGCGAAACAAGCGAATCGGGAGGTGGCAGGATCTATGCCAGAGGTCGAACGACTACGAGGTAGTAGGGCAGACGAGAGGGGCAATCGCTAATTTTAATAGGTTAGACCGGTGGAGATGTTGTAGAAAGCATGGCCAAGGTCAGGTAGACGCAGGATTATTTTCTATGACCGTGGCACGAGAGCCCGACAAACTCGCACGTGCGTTCGCAACACAACAGCACAGCATGTGAAGTCAAATTCAATCGTCATCAGATTCCCATTCTCCCGCAGGCGCATATATGCAACAAAATCAGGTATGGTTAGCTATTATAAATCGTGGAACCGAACCTGACCAATTAGTTCAGTAATGGTGTATGGCTCGAGATGAAATGGTCTACCCCAAATGGCACGATGAGAGCCAGGATCTCCTCGCTCGTAACCTCACAATGTAGGGCATCTTGCAACAACGGCGTGCAAAATGAGGAACGGTGGGCCCCCCATGCTATCGGGCCGCATTGGCCGAGTGACCTCGCCCCTTGCGTGCGAGGGGGACGACCACAGCATACTGGTGGGATGAGGCGCACGACAAAACGAGTAAGACCGGCTTTGTCTTTACCAACATAACACGACACTTTGCGGCGGTAGGTGATCATATAGGTTACTGCTTAAATTTCCAGGTGGGTACTAGATGTATTAAATTTTGGAGCAAAATATTCGCGCGGCGGCTCTCGGAGCGGGTGGCGTGGATAGTGGGTGCTTGATCGGGCAAGGCTGATTGGCTGGGTTGTGGCCGCAAATTGTGGGACTCGGATAGGTTGGCCAAGCAAGCCTGCGTCAGGTAGGTTGCACTGAGCAAGACTGTTTAAGAACGTGCGTAAGTATTCCTGCGAAAGCACTGCGTCATCGATAAGTAGGGAAGGATAAAGGGCAGGATGACGGGATTTCGCATTGTGTGGGGTTACGTACACGTGGCCATGGTCTGGCTCCATAGCATACGGACGCTAGAACACTTTGGCAGTAAAAATATGCGTTAAATTTGAAGGACAGACGTGATTCGAACGCGCATCGCCACCTACTGTAGGACCGCGATCTCCTGCAAGCGCCGGTTTGTGTGCATCTGCGAGGCACGGACCGGGTGAGAACTTAAGATTCTATTTGGTTGGTCTTTTTTTTTAGGTTCATAATTACCTATTGTCGTTTCGGGGCCATGCCCTATGGTCGCGACATTACAGGACAGGACAAGAAATCAGTGAGCAGGCGAAAGCGGGAAACACCACAAACTGGAGGCCAGGGACTTAGCACACAAGGACGAGTTTGGTTGGTCTTACCAGGCAAACAGGTACGCACGAGCCTTGTTAGTGTCTGCGAGTCCGAGCTGGACCAGCACTTGCGAACTTGTATGCGTCAACTAAACCTGTCCATACCATTATGACCAGCAGAGGGCAATTCGGGTTGCGCTCGGTATCTGCACATTTACTAATATAATTATTCGTTTTTCCCTAGAACCTATGGGTTTAAATGGCCACGATTGGCCCCCTCTTCACTGGTCAATCTGTGTGAGGGGAACTAGCCTCGTTGGTGCACGTAAGCGTATAGTCCTCGTGCCACATACCGTACTACACACACAAGGTGTACACAAACACGGAGAGCGTGTTTGCGTTGATATGTGCCGACCATACAGGTCAGAACTAAGCTGAACTGTCGGGGTCGATCGCATGGCGCTTACCATGTTAATTTGTGCCGGTTTGCAGCCTCTGACCAGTTTGCAGCGAAAAGGCTTGGCACATTTGGGCTTGTGAGTGGACGTGAAAGTTGTGACGGATTTCTCCGCCACGAACCTCGAATATAGATACATGAAATATATGAAAATTACTACTTCGAGGTCTGGCTTCCCCGTTTGCGAAGCGAAATTCGCATTTTTGAGGGTAGAAAATCGGCACGTAAATTTGCGATTTTACTATTCCCGAGCTAAGCGCTGACCTCAGGGACCTGTTTTGCAAGCTCGACTTTGAGGCTCGTGTCGACGATTTCGCCCGAAACTACTATTCTATACCAGTTTATACTATTCTAGTATCCAACAGCAAAAGAGATAGACAAAAAGAAAAGGCAAGGGACAGGCGTGAATCGAACACGCGGCCTATCGATATAACCACATGACAATGCTGCAATCGAGTGCTCAACCACTGAGCTTCTATCCCTTGCTTAAAGCTGAAAAACAAGAACTATCACCGTAGAACGCCTGAACTCGTAAATCGCTAATTTTTTTTGGGAGCATGGTAAAACATGGGTGTGTCTTTTAGCGCATTTTGCGCTGTAGTACCGGTAGGTAGCCCGCGAAATAAGTAACCTGCTCGTAGAACACGATGGGCACATAAGTACACGTTGGCACGTGACACGGCGTGCAAGCGCGCTTCCTGACCTTGGACTCTTCACCACTGCCATCATGTCGGAAAGCCCTACAGAGGCCGAGACCAAACCCGCCGCGCCTCTCAAGCCAGCACGGAAGCAGGTCAAACCTGGCCAAGTGGAAAAGAAGGAGACTCCGCAGACGGGCAAGGAATACAGTGAGTGCGACGGCGACTGCCACGAGACTTTCACTGACGTCGAGCGTAGACATCTGGTACAACAAGTGGGCTGGGGGAGACAGAGAAGACAGCTACTCCAAGTGAGTACCGACTTTGTTCTCTCTAGTCGTATGCTAATCACCCGACTAGCAAAGTCAAATCCCAGACCAGGTGCAACATTAAGCGGGATGCAGGCTATACGAGAGCCAACACTACGGGGGTCAAGTATTGTTGCTTGTTCTTTGCCCGAGGTTGCTGTCCGTATGGGTGAGCATTATGACACCTATATCCATGCCTCCGCTAAACACCGTGATAGCTACGAGTGTGAATTTCTCCACAACTTGCCCCTCCCTGCGGCGTCGATGGAAGATTCATCGAAAGACTGCTTTGCTCGAGACAAGTTCTCAGACTACCGAGACGACATGGGTGGTGTGGGCTCCTTTACGCGGCAAAACCGAACGTTGTACATTGGGCGCATCAAGGAGACTGGACCTGGGAGCGAAACGGAGGAAATCGTGAGACGACACTTTAAGATGTGGGGAGAGATCGTGTTCTGTACGTCGCTCAGTATTATCTGCTAGACTTTTAGCTAACTCTTGATTCTAGTGCGTGTACTCCAGTATCGTAGTGTTGCGTTTGTGACATATGCAGATGAAGCAAACGCTCAATTTGCAAAAGAGGCCATGGCTTGTCAAAGCATGGACAACGATGAAATTCTAAATGTTCGGTATGTGGTTGCCCTGCTCGGTCAAAGTCTAGCGTCTGACCCGGCTCAATAGATGGGCGACAGAGGACCCCAATCCGACTTCTAAAATCGCAGAGAAGCATCGTTTGGAGGAGATTGGGAGTGTTGCCATCGCAAACAAACTCGACCCACGAATGGTGGATGCTGTTCGTCACATTCGGGCACTCGAGGATGAGGAAGCGGTGCCCGAGCCTCCGTCCCCACCAGAAAAGCGGCGACGTTTGGCTGAGCCGGAGCCAGAGCCGGAACCAGAAGAGCCACCACAGACCGGTCTGTTGAGCGCGCAAACATTGGAGGGTCTCAAGTACCTGGCAGAGATGCGACGCCGACAAGAGGCTGCCGTTCGGCCCACGGTCTCGAATGCAGCTCCTCCACGTCCGGCTGCGGTTGGTTTGGGGGGTTTGGGAGGTTATGGGAGTGACGAGAACGACTAAAATCACTATCTTATGTTTTGTAGCCACGCTTGTAATGCTGTCGTGGGTCTTCAAATGGGTAGCAATGCCACGGCCGGATCTGTAACTGCACAGCCTCAATGGGCCGGCAATGACCTAATGACCGATCAAGGAGAGTTGACCTCATGGTGACCTCGAAAGCTGGTACAACAAGCCTCAACTATCCCTATTTTTAGGAGCACACCAATCGATCCGTGAGGTATGTGCCAGGCGTGGACCTTGGGCACTGTCTGCAACGCGGCACACAGCCAATTTATACCTAATGACCCGTTTGCCCTCGTACAACGGATTTTCCGTACAAAGGGCACTGTGGTATTGAATGCCCAGGCCTGTTGCAGCGCCACACTGTACTAGCCGAATAAAAAAGGCCTGAATTACTTGGCAAAAAGCGGTGTGTCGGGGCGGACACCAGGAACAGCTATGCCCAGGCACTGCCAAATATGTAAAAGACACTAGCCACACTGCCACCTCAGGACCGAGGCTGGCTTCAAAAGGGTGCTCTCGGTTCGCAGACAAGCACCCTTCCCTCCATCCTCGCTCCATGATCTTCACGTCCCTATTTGCTGCAGCCCTGTGGACGGCGTCCCTAGCCGCGCCCACGACAAGCGACCAGCCTGACCTCGGAGCTCTGGCGCGACGCGACGCGGAGCTCGGCTCGCTCGTCCTCATCGTCAAGGCGCAAGACGATTTGACAGACCCCGACGACTTGACCGTATCTTCGTGTCTCTTGAACACTGGCGACAAAACGCTCAAGGTTCTCAACGACCCTAATGGTGAGTCGGTACCGCTCCCGCGTGCCACCAATGAGCTAAACCATCTCTAGGCCCATTAAGCACGTGGAAGACCCACTCGTTCGATTTTTACGAGGTCCCTAGCCCGGGCTCGAGTTCTTTAAAGGCGAGGTCTGGCGGCTCTGTAGCGGATGTAAACGCGGTACGCGTCAAGGTATGGATAGCCACCGTTTCAGCCTGCTAGATGGCTTACCTTGGTCAACCCAGTACAACCCGGTTTACGCGGCTACTCTGGATGATCCAAATGAGTATACTGTCCTGCAACCCGGCGAAAACAAGACCTTGCTCCACGATCGTATGTCGCATCCTTTTTCTGTTTATATTTTCGCTTATTTCTGCTGCTCTAGTTTCGGGCATGTACTCTTTCCATACCACGGGATCCTACGCCGTCAGGCTCACCGCCAACGCCGAGTACTTTCGCATAATCAAAGACGACAATTCGATCGGTTATATCCAGGCCAAGATGTACGACGGCGCCGAAGCGGCCAACTGGACGGCGGTCAACGTCGCCGAATCCGGAACCTACCCATCGCTCAAGGGCCTAGTCGGCGCAGGCATTCCAAGCCACTCGCTAGCCCGCCGATGGGACGACGACGAGAGCCACACGCTCTCCAAACGCACAATGTTCCGCAACTGCAGCGCGTCTCAACAACAGAGTATCCTGCCGGGCATCAAGGGCGCAAACGGATACATTGCCGAAGTCAACAAGTACCTCTCCACCTCGTATTACCTCGGCAACAAGCGGTATCGCACTTGGTTCGGCCCGTACGAAAAGACACGCTGGAACACGGTCAAGGCGCACTACCTTGCGCTCCGCAACCAGCCCGCTCGTTTCCGGTTCGATTGCTCGTGCGAGGAGACAGGCACGTTTGCGTATGTGTACCCCAACCAGTTTGGTACGGTGTATCTATGCGGGGCGTTTTGGAAAGCTCCGACAGTGGGCACCGACTCCAAGGCTGGGACTATCATTCACGAGGCCTCGCACTTTACAAAGATCGCTGGTACGTCCGACTATGCCTATGGACACGAAGAAGCAATGGCTCTTGCGGTGAACGATCCCGCCAAGGCTATTATGAATGCCGAGTGAGTGCCATACACAACTTGCCTCTGCTTTGAGCTAACTTGGCCCAACAGTTCCCACGAATACTTTGCCGAAAACACACCTCGCCTGTCGTAAATTTATCCCTACACCTAGTGACATGGGTCAGAATTTTTCACTTTGTTGTCACGCATTTATTCTGGGCATTTCCCCTGGGTTGTCAATTGGACATGTTTTACATGCAATATCTTATGTAGCAACGTTTTTATTCATAACAAATCGTTCGAGTCATATTCGCACGCATTAGAATGTGACACAAACGACGTAAACGAAACACAATACGAGCAATAGGTTCAAAGAAACGCACAAGGGTATCCACATACAAGCACCGAGGGAAACGAAAAGGAACGGCATTTACAAATACAGTACTATATGTATATACCACCTCCATTCATCTAAGCGTACGGCGTGGGCAAACCTCCAGCCAGAACTCGGGCACTCTCGCGCTCCGCATCTTGTTGTTGTTTGATTATCATCTCCTGATGCCTCCGTAGATCCTGGTTGGCCCTCGAATCCGCGACGCTCGAGCTCGGCCGGTTCGCGTTGTTGCTCGCACCGAGGGCAGCGGCGTACCCCGATTGCGCGGGCTGAGGGGGCACGTGTTGGATGTGGGGCATGGGCGGCAGCGCCTGCTGGGGCGTCGGAGGAGGTGTCGACTCGCTGCCTAGCTTGCGCTTGTAGGAGCGCCTGGACTTGAGGGCGGTGGCGGCACTGCCCGGAGCAGGCGGTGGCGGCAGCTGCTCTTCCGGCTTGCGCTTCGCGCCCGAGACAGAGCCAGGGGACATGGGTGCAGATGGCGCAGGCTGGGCGTGGAGGTGTGCTGGCGGTGCTTGGGCAGGCATGTGGGAAGATGGGGAGCGAAGCGCAGGGCTAACCACGGGCTTGCGATCAGAAGTGTGGTAGCCGAGATCGGGTGAATATTCCTCGGGCATCGCGCACTGGATACCTCGCCGCAAACACTCTTCGCACCCTAGGCTCTCCTGGTGGCCAGGTCTACACGCAATATGATTGTCTAAAGCTCAAGTCAGCTCGATCAGACCGAGCGGCGGAATTGACTCACTGTAGCAGTACAAGCAGCTGCGCCGAGATCCAACGGGAGTAGCTCCATTCGACTTGTCGCCCCTCGACTTGGAAGTGCGCCCGGGAGGCGGTGTGTTGTACGGCGGAAGATCTGGGCTCGTCGCCTCGTACACCGGCGGCCCACGCGTGGAATGCGATACTCGCGTATGATGTTTATCGGGAACCAACCCAGGGGGCGACATGCCGTTGTACGCATGAGCCGCCTGACCGGGAGCTCCACGTGGAAGCCCGCCAGCCGCTTTGCGGCCGACTTTCCAGATCTGGACGACCAGGACGCAGTCGGACATGTCACGAAGCTGGGTGAATTTGAGCGTGTTCAGGCCTTCTCTGATTTCGCTTGTTATGTCAATCGTTTGGTTGAGCTTGCCCTGAGAGGAAAATCAGCGGACATGTATCACGGGTGTCGCTGTGGCTTACGTGTGGCGGCGGAGCCATGTGATGCGAGCTCGGAGGCTCGTCACCAGAAG